TGTTATTGATAGTTTTTCAGCTTCCTTGGGAACTGGGGGTTCCTCTTTAACTAAATAGAAATAAAAAATTAATAAGTTGTTCAATAAATATACTTTTTTATATAATATTATAATTACAGTAATATGTAAAATTGTTTTCCAATTCTGCAGTTTGCCCGTCAACTGTAACATAAATACCAAAAGTTTTATTTTGGTATTCAGCTTTTTGATTTTTGTCAACAGAGTCTAGAAAACAGGTAATTACTTCATAACCCTTTAGAACACTGGGCCATTTACATTGTTCCTTACCTATAAAAATTTTTAGACCAATTCTATTGAAATTTTCACCAAAAATTGTTATTAAACGATTTTCACTTTTACCAGGAGATCCATAAACAGTTGGTGGGTAAAATGAAAATGTAATATTGTCTGGATTTATTGCATTTCTACCTTTAATGCTCATGAAAATTTCATGATTGTGTCCTGATGTGGTTTTTCTTTCACCAATACCATCTAGTTTAATTTCTTGACCTGAAATACCGGTAACATTACATTTTAATATTGTATTATCTTCATATATGGTTATGTTGTTACATGGAATACCGGATGGAGTTCCTCTTGGAGATCTAAATGAAATAGCAGCTCTTGGGCTAAGATATTTTCCATATATTGTAACTTCACCTCCACTGATGGGGATTGAGTTTATTTTTAAAATTACGGGTTTAACAGCAAATTCATATTGTTTCTGTATATTTTGATGATCTGGTATTCCAACAGTTATATCCAAATAGTGAAGTCCATGAAGTAATTTGGGTGTCATAAATTGCAAACACGAATCGTTAACATTTGAAATTTTAATTTGTGTTTCTCCAGATACTATGGATATTTTGTTTAGATCTCTTCCAAAATTATAACCAAATAGTGTTACCAATCCACTTACATTATATTCAATACCAGAAACTAACGGATTATTGTAACTGAAAAGGTTTTTCTCTACTATTGTGTACTTATCAATGCTAACTGATAATGGCCAGTCCTTACCAACTCCTGGTTCCAATAAACATTCAATATGAATACCATCATTACTATTTGGATTTTTACACTTTGCAATATTTTCACCACTACCAACATATATGCTTATAGGTAAATTTACAGTTGATGATCCTTCAATTTTTTTAGTATGAACTGAAACACCAGTAATTGTAACTATTTGACCAGTTGTATTTGATGTTGAGATGTTTTTTATTATTGGTAAAAATGAAAGATGGCCTACATTTGATTTTACTATTTCATTATCATCTTTAGAAAAAATAACGATATATCCAGGGTAAGCATTAAGTGGAACATTAACGACCATTTTATTTTCGTCTTTACTAATTATAGAGCAATTATGTTCTGTAATATTAAAAGTTTTATCAGGGATCATAACTGAAACCATTGTTATTGATTGGTCATCTAAATATTTACCAATAATAGTAAATTGAGCTTCACCATTTAAAGGAAAAGTTGTTTGGTTTACATATGATATAGATGGGCTTTCATAAGAAAAAGTAATGTTGGTACTATATTTTCCATCAATTGTTAGCACCAAATTTAAATTTTTTTTTTTTTCATTTTCTTTTGATGGTTCCATATTACATATTAATAAACCTTTTTCCGGAATTGCTTCAATTACATTACAATTTTTATTATATGGAAGAGTAATGCGATATCCTGATAATTTATTAGTGGAATTTTCAAATGCCCTTGAATATAGATTTATTCCATTAATAGTTACATTTCCACCTTCTTTTGATGAAACTGAGGTGATTCCTTCAATTTTTGGTTCATTTGTAATTTGAAAATTTGCTTCCTTTATATCAGAATTACATATTTCCAAAACGATATCCCACATGCCACAATATAATATTTGAGGAACTTCAAAATATGAGATTTCTTGTAGCGGGTCTGTGGATGTGTTAAATTCTTTAGTTGAAATGGTGTCTGTGGAATCAAATGGGCCAGTAATTTTTAATTTTGGGTTGTAAAGATTTGAACCAACAAGTAATATTTTATTCTTTGATCCTTCTTTTTTAAAGTCAGCAACTATAGGCTTTTTATAACTACCAAGAAAAGAATTTTTTCCATATATTAAATTGAATTGGCCGCACCCTGGAGGGAAATTTTCAATGACAAATTTCTTTATTTGATTATTGTAGATGTAATTTAAATTAGGGACATATAAATTTTCAGATGATATATCTACTTGGATTTTATTTAAATTTTCATCATAAAAAAAAAATCCATCAAAATATAAATTGCCTCCATTAGTATCAACAGGGTCTATTGATATGATTTTTGGATTTTTTTTAACTAAAACGCATGAACAGTCATAGTATAGGTAGCCATTTGGAAGGTTTAGAAGGTCTATTTCTTTTAATTTGGTATCATTAAAATTAGCTTCATAGTTTATTAAGGTTTTATTTGAAAAATCTTTAAAGATAAGAAAATTGCATGTGTCATTTTGATCGCATTTTATTATTTGATTTTCATCGACGCACTGTGAAGATATATTTTGAATAAAATAAAGGAAAATAATTATATATATAATTAATTTCATTTTTGATTATGATTATAAAAAAATAAGTAATAAAAAATAGGTAAATCAAAATTAATAAATAACAAATGTATAAATTTTTTTTTATTATTTTTTTAATAAAAAAAAAAAAAATTTAAATAAAAATAAATATATTGTTAATAAAAACAATTTGTATAGTTCACAAACACATCTATGACAACATTAGTATCACTATTAAGTTCAAATTTTATTGCCCAAATTAATATAAAAAAAAAATTTCACCCTAAATTCACCCACTCACACTTTTTTTTTCGCACTAAAAACACTTTTTTTTATATGTAAAATTATAATTATTAATATATAAAATTGTTATTTTTTTATTGAGCTTCATTATTTGGGAAATGATTTAAAAAAAAACAAATTTGTTATTATTTTTTTATATGTAAAATTATAATTATTAATATATAAAAATTGTTATTTTTTTATTGAGCTTCATTATTTGATAACTGATTTAAAAAAAAACAAATTTGAAATTATTTTTTTTATTTTTTTTTTTTAATTATTTTTTTGGCTGTGTTTTTTTTTGGCTGTTTTTTTTTTTTATTTGTTTTTTTTTAATAAATATACAATATTAAAAAATTATACTATTGGATAGTTTTTAAAAAAATATGTTTAAAGAAAAAAATAAAATAGTAATTTTGGTGTTTTTGGTTCATTTGTCAATTTGCTTTGGTTATCGTAAGTTTTAGATTCTTTAATTATATTTTTTTTAAATATTAATTTTTTTTTAAATATTAATTTTTTTTTTTAATTTAAATGATTTTAGATGTTGAGTCTACATATGGAAAAATAATTGCTGACTTTACTGGATTATATGAACGTGTTCCACTTAATGTAACCATTTATAAGGATCCATATTTTAAAATTCCATATTTAAATCTTAATTTTACTTTGTCAAAATTCCCCAATCCCAAGTATCATAATTATATTTTTGACAGAATTACCTATGAAGCAACAATGGATAGTAAAAAATACTATGGGTCTGCAGTAGATGCTTGTGTAATTGATCTTAAAACAAATAAAACCGAATGTGGCTATAAATCATCGACAATATATGATTGTTTGTTTGAACCATACAATGTAACTTTTTTAAATAAACCTCCAACAAAGGGAGGTGTTATAAATGTAACTGGAGAATTCATGAGATTCGGAGTTGGTGATACGAAAGTGGCTTTTTTAAAATCATCTGTTTTTTATCAAAATGTAACTGTTGCCGGTGAATATGATGACCCAAACTATAATCCAAACTTTCTATCAATTACTTTTCCACGTGGTTATGGTAAATTTAAAATATGTTTAGATTACAATCAACTAATGTGCTATGAATTGTCATTTCAAAGTCCATCGATCTCATCAGTATATTATAATACCTCAAATCATCATCTAACAATTAAAGGTGATAATTTTTATAATGCAACTCAAGGACCTAGAAAGACTACCATAGTAATTGTATATATAAATGGTTCACTTTTAAATGAAAGTGATATCACATCAATTGGTTATGAGGAAATGGTTTTAAAATATTCATCAATATACACTCAAGAACTAAATATTTCAATTAATATTGATTCGCTTTATACAAATAATACAATACAAATACCACCATACCCATCCTCATATTCCACAAATGCTACAAAGTATAATGAAGGTATTGTTGAAATTACTGGTACTCAACTTTTATCACAAAAAGACCAAAACGATCTTAAAATTACAATTTTCGGCAAGTTATGTAACATCATTCCACCTAGCAATTTAACCTATATTAAATGTGCATTGCCAAAAGGAGTTGATAATAATCAAAATACAATTCAAGTGTGTGTAAACAATATATGCAGTACAAATGACATTATTTATGATTATGTAAAACCCATTATTTCCAGTGTCACACAAAATGGTTCCATCTTTACAATACAAGGTAAATACCATGGTAGTTATAATGATAATTCTACACAAGTTATTGTAACATATGATGGTAATATAAAACAAATAATATTACCATTATCCATACAAACTGATGAAACTGAATCGGTATTCAAGATTCCATTCTTTTGTGGAAGTGCAATTGTTCAATTATTTGTAAATGGTTTAAAATCAAATGAATATACTATTAATGCAAATACAAATGTTGAAATAATATCGCCACCATCTACAGATTCTAAAACGCCATTAATAGTTTTACTTTCATATTATGATTGTAAATATTATAAAAATAATACTTTTAATCCATTATTCAAAATTCAAAATTCGAAATCAATTGGAACTAAAGTAAACAACACATACTCTTTTAAAGTTATACCTGGTACTGGTACAAAACAAGCAAATATAACATTTGCAAACAAAGATGTTACAATAGAGTACTCATATGCAAAACCAAAAGTTTTAAAGCATAATATCGAATATAATGATCCAATAAATACTGTTATGCTTTATGGTGCTAATTTTGGTACAAATTCATCATTGTGCAATATTACATATAATGGTATAGAAAAAGAATGTCAAGTAATAGACCATTACCAAATAAAATTTAAAGTAGAATCAATTGAAATATCTTCAAACATATCGATTACAATTGATGGTATTATATCAGATAGTTATATAATGGAGCTTGTTAAATGTAAACTTATTAATGAACAATTATATCCTACATCATTTGGTTGTTTAGAATCAGAACCAGTTGTTAATTACTATTGTGATGGTTTAAAAACATATTCATCTAAAACTGATCCAAACAAGTTATTAAGTGCAACTTTTAACGATGAAGCTACTATGATTGATTTCCAAGGCAATAACATATCAGTTCATATTAAAGAAGGTATATCATCATCCACATTAAAGATCTTTTTAAATGGTATCTTTTCAAAATCAAATCAAATTAATAGAAAAGAAGGTATTATTTACAACTCTAAAATACAATATGATGAACAACAAAGTTTAATTAATCTTGATATAACTGGATTTAACTTTGGAGAACCATACGATATTGGTTTGCCTACAGTTTATAATACAACTTTTGCAACTAAAAACTGTTCAATGTTATACCATGGTACAAAGTATAACAAAAACTGTACAATCGATATAATTACATGTCAATTTACTCTACCACATAGCTTTAACAAAGATATTATATTAGAAGATAAAGAAAGTAGTAATACAACTCTTACGATTCCATTTACACTTAAATTAGGTAATAATACAATCTATTCGTCATTTAATAATATTGAACATATACCAGCCAAAGATAATAAAAAGAAAACAAAAACCATTGCATTAGCAACTACATTATCAATTGGATTGACGTTACTTTTTGCTGGTAGTGTATATGGTGTTTGGAGACACCATCAAAACAAAATTGAAAACAAAAAAAAAGAAAAAAATTAAAAAAAATAAAAAAATAATAGAAATAAGAAATAATATAAGAAATTATGTTCAAAAAAAAAAAAAAAAAAAAAAAATAATAAATTATGTTTTAAAAATAATAATTAAATTTATTTATTTATTTTTTTTATATAAGATATATATTTCTGTATTATTACAAGATATTATAGGTACTTTTTAACTATAAAGAGAAGATATATTTTTAATTGATTATAGGAATATAAATACATAAACATATATCTCAGTTAAGTTCAAATTTTATTGCAAAAATTATATTTATAAAAATTAACCCTAAATACACCCACTCACACTATTTTTCACACTAAAAACACTTTTTTTATATGTAAAATTATAATTATTAATATTTTTATTAGTATATAAAAATTGTTATTTTTCTATTGAGCTTCATTATTAGAGAACTGATTTAAAAAAACAAATTTGTTATTATTTTTTTATTTGTTTTTTTTTTTACTTGTTTTTTTTTTTTTTTTATTCAAGGCACAATATAAAACAATTTATCATTGGACAGTTTTAAAAAAATATGTTTAAAGAAAAAAATAAAATTATAATTTTGGTGTTTTTAATTCATTTGTCAATTTGCTTTGGTTATCGTAAGTTTTTTATTTAAAATATATTTTTTCTTTAATATTAAAATTATAATTTAATTTAAAATTTTTAGATTTTAAATCTTCATATAAAAGAATGGTTATCGACTTTAATGGTTTATATGACTGCATTCCACTTAATGTAACCATTTATAAAGATCCATATTTTAAAATTCCATATTTAAGTCTTAATTATACTTGGTCTAAATTCTCCGATCCCGAGTTTTTCAATTTTACTTTTGACAGAGTTACTTTAGAAGCAACAATGGATAGTAAAAAATACTATGGATCCGCAGCAAGTGCTTGTGTATTTAATGGTGAAACAAATAAAACCGAGTGTGGGTATAGAAATTACGACACAGTTAAATGTTTGTTTCCTCCATACAATGTAACGTTTTTAAATAGTCCTCCAACAAAAGGTGGTGTTGTAAATGTAACAGGAGAGTTCATGAGATTCGGGGCTGGTGATATGAAAAAGGTATTTTTAAGATCACCTAATTTTTATCAAAATATAACTGTTGCCGGTGAATATGATGATCCAAACTATGACCCAAACTTTCTATCAATTACTTTTCCACCTGGTTATGGTGAATTTCAAATTTGTTTAGATTACTATCAAGAATATTGCTATGATTTGTCATTTCAAAGTCCATCGATCTCATCAGTATATTATAATACCACAAATCATCATCTAACAATAAAAGGTGATAATTTTTATAATGCAACTCAAGGACGTAGAAAGACTACCATAGTATTTGTATATATAAATGGTTCACTTTTAAATGAAAGTGATATCACATCAATTGGTTATGAAGAAATGGTTTTAAAATATTCATCTATATACACTCAGGAACTAAATATTTCAATTAATATTGATTCGCTTTATACAAATAATACAATACGAATACCACCATACCCATCCTCATATTCCACAAATGCTACAAAGTATAATGAAGGTATTGTTGAAATTACTGGTACACAACTTTTATCACAAAAAGACCAAAACCATCTTA